TATTATGACTCGTATGGCAATGTTCGATACGTGAGTTTTCTCATCTTTTCAAGATCTTTTTGATAGACTCTGACTGTGCCTCAGCCGAACGGGCCTACTGAAAGCAACACAGTACTTCTATTGCACGATGCTTTCCAGCCACTTAGTTACTGGTCTGGATATCAGATTCCTCCTAACTGGCAGGGTATGTAAATGTGACCTGATTTTCAATCATGTATCTGATAATATCACAGGCGTGGCTATGGACACTCACATCTACCAAGTTTTCTCCAACTCCGTGAGTAGGCTGCATTCGGTATTGCGATATGTCTTAAGAGGTATCTAGGACGTTGCCATGAGTCAGGCTCAACATATCAGCGTATGTATTGAACAGACAAAAATATCATCTGTTCTAATCGTACTTTTGCAGACCGCTTGCAGTTACGGTTCGTCGTTGAGCGGATTTGATCTTTGGCTTGTGGTTGGGGAATGGTCTCCTGCCGCGACAGATTGTGCCAAGTATCTCAACGGGCGCGGCATCGGTGCTCGATACGATGGCAGTTACTCCGGCTCACCCAAAGTTGGCAGCTGCACTGGATTAACGGGAGCAGCCTCGAGTTTCAGTTCGTCCTACAAGACCTTCCTTCGTCAATACTGGGAAGCACAAGTAATTGCTTTCGAAAGAGGCGCTCAGGGATGGATACAGTGGGATTGGAAGAATGAGAATGCCGATGAATGGTCGTACCAGGTAAATATCCCGAACTCGTCTTGGAAAGTATTGCTTTAATAGTGCTCTCTCATAGGCGGGTCTCGCCAACGGATGGATCCCTTCACCGCCCACCGCCCTGAAATATCCAACCATCTGTGGCTGAGTTGCTACCAGCTTTCGTTTCACCGGTTTCGCATTAGACGTGTTCAGCGTTGTATGACGTATGAAGCCCGGGTCGAGCGTCTACTACACACATTTGCCCTCTCGACCATTGTATATTATAATGACTTTCTCTGCTTTATCAATATTGATATTACCCTGGAGGTGCATCATGTCCTGAGAATCAAAAAAATGCTAAGATATTCGTGTACTGCCACATTACACGTTCGAAACGCAAAAATCCGCGGTTGATGAAATGCTGTGTGCCGCTAAAGCCGGCAGCAACCCTCAGGCGCGAAGATCAGATGTGACGACTATAAATGCACTTGTCCTTGTGCTGAACCAAGCATCTACCCCACTACCATGTCAGAGACTCTCAGACAGAAATACGAGGCTGCAGGCCAGGGCCACGTCTTCAACTTTTGGTCTCAGCTCTCAGAAGACGATCAGAAATCTCTGGTTTCACAACTCGGCTCCATCGACATTGAGCGCGTCAATCGCGTTTATTCCAACGCCATCCAGTCCGAAAAGCATGCTGCAGAGAGCAATCAGTCCATCCACCAGGGCATCGAACCTCTCCCAGAAGAGTCTTTCGAAACAATTCTGGGCGCGCCGCAGAAGGAAGCACAGTGGCGAGAGATTGGTCTGGAGGCTATAGCGGATGGAAAGGTCGGAGTGTTGCTCATGGCTGGTGGCCAGGGTACAAGATTAGGCAGCTCTGCACCGAAGGGGTGCTACGACATTGGTCTCCCATCCCACAAACCGCTGTTTCAGATCCAAGCCGAGCGCATCGCCAGAATCCAACAGGTTGCTGCACAGGCAAAGGGCAAAAGCCCCGCCTCTGTTGTGGTTCCTTGGTACATAATGACTAGCGGGCCAACACGAGCGAATACGGAGGCTTTCTTTGAGGAGCACGCATATTTTGGACTGGAACGCAATAATGTTGTATTCTTTGAACAAGGTGACCACTTCTTTGATGAGCTACACCGAGACATCTCATCTTTATGAACCAGGAACACTGCCTTGTCTGTCGATGGACGGAAAAGTGCTCTTGGAAGCACCTTCAAGAGTGGCAGTTGCCCCCGACGGAAATGGAGGATTGTACAACGCTCTTCGAACTCCCTTCCATCTTCCCTCATCCAACTCGTCGACTACTGTGCTCTCGGACATGGAAAGCCGCGGAATCCAATATGTACACGCTTACGGAGTGGACAACTGCTTGGTCAAAGTTGCAGATCCCGTATTCGTGGGATGCTGTCTCCAAAAACAAGCAGAATGCGGCTCCAAGGTGGTTCGAAAGACAATACCCTCCGAATCTGTTGGGGTCGTCGCAGTCCGAGATGGTCGATATAGCGTTGTCGAGTACAGCGAAATCTCAAAAGAGCAGGCCGAGCTCCGCGACCCCAAAACGGGAGAATTGGCTTTCCGGGCGGCCAACATTGTCAACCACTTCTACACTACCAAGTTTCTGAAAGCCATCGAGTCTTTCGAGGACAAGATGGCATTCCACATAGCGCGTAAGAAGATTCCATTCGTCGACTTGAAAACTGGAGAATATTCCAAGCCGTCGAAACCCAACGGCATGAAACTGGAGTTATTCGTATTTGACGTTTTCCCATTCACACACGACTTCACAGTAATGGAGGTCGAACGCACGGAGGAGTTTAGTCCGTTGAAGAATGCCCCTGGTACTGGGTCTGATGATCCCCAAACTAGCCGGAGAGATATTTTAGCTCAACAAAGGCGATATCTTGAGCAAGCTGGGGCAACTGTGGCTGACGGTGTCGAAGTGGAGATATCTCCGCTTGTTTCTTATGCTGGGGAAGGGCTGGAAAGCTTGCGGGGCAAGCACTTTGACAAGCCAACAGTTTTGGATAAACTGTCCAGCGCGAACGCTTAAATTTGGACTGTAGATAAACGCGTTCGGCTCGTGTAGGATTGTAGTTGTGGCTGGCATTGGACGAATATCATTTCATTATCCTCCTATAGATTCTGTTGACTCGTCCAACCGTCTTTCTTTCTCTGCACGAAGAAAGGTCCGCAATCGAGAAGTAACATCACCTGGCGGCAGATCTCTGCAGTATTCCAACAGTTCGTCCACCAATTTCTCACTCTGTTCAATTAAATCATCTCTCGTGACTTTCAACTGCGAGTTCTGAATACAACAATTGTCAATACGGCAGTACATATTGCCTCGAGGAGGACTGATGCATTACCTCGCTTTCGATGTCCTGCAGCAGAGTTCGAGTTTGTTCAACAACCTGTTTCTGCTCCTCTGCCCGCGCCCTTGATAGCAACACCTCCAGCTCCTTCGATCGTATTACGCATTCGAAATGCTTCTCGCGCAGCTCGTATTGGCGGAGGACTTCTTTCAATCGTTCTCGGACACTGTATCAGAAGTGAGCAAGATGCGCCAATGGCTGCAAAGTTTCTCATACACTCCATCAAATATGTCCTCGATAGCTTGCTTCGCACTAATGCTGGTTTAACAAGAGAGTGCAAACACAGCTTGGGCGACTCACTCCTGCGGATCATCGATCCAGTGTTTCAATAACCTCATTCTTTGAGAAGTTGGGACGAGATCCTGACCATGAGCTTAATCAAGTGAAAAAATACGAGTCAAATCATTTACGTACCACTTCGGGACTGGTTAAATCAAGCATCTCTAGGGCTAGTATTTCGTCATTTTCCTCCATTCCTGCATCCTCGGGCGTTTGGTCGGGCTCGATCGTTCGTCCCTTATGAGAAAAGATGAAAGTCATAGGTGCCAAATTTCCCTCCGATTTCTGGCTCGACATAGAGGCCCCACTGATCGAACCATTTTCGAGCCGTTTCTCGCTGCCTCCTTCGATTTCCATCCTCTCGGTCCAAGCATTGAATAAACGAGCGAACTTGGTCTTGCGAGTTATCTTGAACAGCAGTTCAGCGCGATATTTGCAAACCACTTTCACTACGATGTCTGGCGTGTCTTGGAACTTCTTCTGCTGTCGTTTGACCTTTTCCACCCTTTTTTCCATGTCAGTTTTCAAAGCCAGGATCTGTGGGTGGTTAATGGAGACACATGGCAGAGATCCTGATCAAACCTCGGTACGAGCTTCCTCCACGCTAACCCGTAAAACCCTTGTATCTTCCTGCAATCTGAGTGAGAGGACTGTCCAGTTGGTAGGGAAATGTTTATTACTCTCAGCCTTCTGTTTTCCTAATCTGAAGTTAGATAGAATACAGCCAGCATGGAGAGCAATACACACCTTGGATAATTCTCGACCCAGGTTTTCCAGTTTAGTCTTGTCCTTTGTCAATTTTGAAGATTGAGCCTTGGCTACATAGGGAAATAGCGGGTTAAGCCGACATAGAAAAACAGGAGGTCATGGACGATACCTGAATCTTTGTCCTTATTTAATTTCTGTTTCTCCCTAGCATGTTCTCGTTCCAGCCTCTTCATTTCCTGAAACTGTGATACAAGAAGGTGAACGCAAATCAATCGTACGAAGCAGACGTCGTCAAAGTTATATTACCAATTCAAGATAGCGAGTCTGAATGACTGATTCTGAAGCTCCTTTTATACTCTTTCGTGCTTCTTCCGCTGTTGAATTAAGCAATGCTTCGCGCCCACCGGAGAGATCGAGAGAGCGGACGAACCTATCTTTCGCTGCTCTTCTTCTCCGTGGACTTCCTCTTCTTCTAGAGCAGCAATACGGTTCCTGACGTTCTCGTACATCACGGCGGGATCAACGGGTTCAGCCTTCCTCTTTGCTTTGTGAGAGTGAGTGCCATTGATGGCAGGTGGGGGAACAGGATCTGGGTTCGAAGACGATGCTGCAGGAGAATCAACTGGTGTCGATAATGGGACGTGCGGTACAGGTCCCGTTGGTGGAGGCTTCGGGGCGACAGTTGTTCTCGAGGCAGTTTGCGAGTGTGAATTGGAGGTACCATTCATGGCGTTTCAGACAAGGGCGCGCCTCTAGATATCGATCTTATCGTTGCAAAGATACAGAAAATTATCCGTCGAATTCTGACACCTCCTCAGGGCAGCGTGCACGTCGCCAGCAGTGTGCGGTTGAGCACAAATGAATGAGCGGAAGTCACCGGCGCCTTTGGTGCATCGAACTTGTTGCGGAGCGGTCATATTTTATTCAAACCCTGAGCGCATATCGGATCGATGGCGCAGTGGTAGCGCATGCGATTGCAGATCGTGCGGTCCCGTGTTCGAATCACGGTCGGTCCTCGTTTTGCTTCCCTTCAAGATGTTTTTCGCTTTTTGTGACGCAGCCTGGGCCTGTCATCACTATCAGAGATGACCAGGTGTTATTTTTTGTGATAGGTCAACCTGAACCACTAGTATCGTAATTTCTAAGTGCCTTGTTACTAAATTCAGGAACTGCCATTGACACTGTTCACTTGGAGGCTCCCAAGGTCGGACTGGAATGCCAGTACCCATGTTGATGAAAACCCCATTCAACACCCCAGATACATAGACAGATTGATATTGATAGTATACAAACTTCAAGACCCAACACAATCGTATGGAAGGACCCAGCACGCACGAAACACAAAGCATACTACTACTAGACGCTCATGCATATGTAATGTAATATGCCCAACATAAGCTTCTTCGATTTAACAATTCATGAACAAGATATACAGTCCTTCGGAGTGGCAATTGAGCAGACGTGTATCGGCACGGAGGGATTCTGTGAGTATTTTGTGATCCTGCGAAGCAACAAGCAACCGAAGTCGACAACCAAGTAATGCGGTTCCTGTTTAACTGCAAAGGTCACGACAAGGCACCAAGATAAGTGTTGTTGAAATACCTTATATAGGTTGATGACAATTAGGGCAATCGTACCAGGATTCTCTAACCAGCAAATCGAAGTCGAAGTAATTAACTTCCAAAAGGGCGGACCAATCCTCCGGGAAAATATATTCCGGGTCTGATTTCACCCGTTGCACCATGGTACGAGCAGCAGATATGCCGCTGAAAGTGCCAACAACTCCATACTCCATACCTCGAGTGACTGGACATTTGGCCAAGGCGAGAGCTACTGTTTTCGGATCTGTGTCCCCAATATCCGCGAACGCGGGCAGTGTTTGCTCGTTCCTTGTCGAAGTTTCGCCACTTGAGCGTTCATCATGCATTGAACCGGAGTTATCTGCCCAGTCGATGTCCTCGGGAGGAGCATGTGCCTCAAATATGCATGAAATATGATACCAACGCTCACAGCCTGAGCAGCGATGCATGATGTGTCGATCCGGGTTGTATGGTTGCAAACATATGCATGAGCTTGAGAGAGGCTACTGTAATTCTTAGTTAGAGACCAAACGCTCACTTCAGTGAACTCTCACCTTGACCAATTGGCGTCCACTATGTCTTGACTTCGAGCTCGATAAATTGGTGGTTGTGCGATAATAGTTGGATTTCGCAGAAATCGGACTCTGCAGAGGGTCAGAATCATCGAACTTTAATACTTTGGTACGCCCTAGATGTTATATCAGTCGCCATGACAGAGACCTTGTCAAACTTCACATACCGTCGCACGAGAGGGCATGGACGATATCTTCTTGATTTGAGAATATCCTTTCGTTGGTTCCACAAAAGGATGGATCACTGTCAAAAAGACCTCAGAGCAAACTCATGACGGCCCAAAATAAATAAGTTTACAACGCAGACACTCGTTGGCTCAATTCCGTCGGAGAGTAATACCAGATCACCTGGAGCCAAACCTGAACCGTTTCAGCACGAAATTCTGATTGCAGATTCTGTCTCACATCATCTGAGTCGAAACCCTTGGCCCTAATTTCCTTGATCTTTGCGTTCCAGAGGCGCTCTGGTGGCGTGTTGTGAGCTTCTTGACCCTCTGGAAGTATATAGACACTACGAGGTAATGACATAGCTGTAGCGTAATGAAAGACATTCAGAACCACTACTCACTCGTCTCCGAGAAAAAAGGTGAATCGTTCTTCATCGAGAGCCACGACTGTACATTCGGTCCAAGTCGATCAAGGAGGTTCAAAACGCAATGAAACTACTTGCGAACCAGTGTACGATTTGAACCTTTTCATTTTGGTCCATTCTTTCAAGGATGGGGGGTGGTCTATGCCAGAGTCCCGAGCTGTACGATGAGGTCCCATATGGTTAGGGTTTGAGGTCTTGAGAGCTATCTCGAGCCCGAAGCTCGTGCCGGCTGCCGCCGAGTTCACCTCACTACTCTTCATAATGCATCGCGCTCGCTCCTTGGCACGCAACACCCGACGCTTTGCCTCGATAACAAAAACACCCAGCACCACGCAGATAACTACTCTGCCGAATAAAGTACGAGTCGCCACCGAAAACACACCTGGTCATTTCTCTTCGGTTGGGGTGTATGTCGATGCGGGTTCACGATATGAAGACACCAGTAATTCTGGTGTAAGCCATATATTAGATCGAATGGCATTTAAGGTCAATGACTTGTCCCTGCTTCAGAGAATAACCCTGACTCTTACAGTAGGGGACTGCAAATTTCAGCACGGAGGAAATGTCCAAGGCTGTTGACGCTCTGGGCGGCCAATTTTTGTCCTCTTCTTCAAGAGAGTCAATCATGTATCAGTCATCACAGTTTACCTCTGGGACGTTACAAGCTTTGTCCTTGCTTGCCGAGGTCGTCAACAACCCCGTCTTCAGTGAAGATGAGCTGGATCTGGTGCGAGACGCAGCTCGCTACGAGGTCCGCGAAATCAACGCCAAACCTGAGATGATTCTACCTGAGATCTTACATCAAGTTGCTTATGGCGGCCAAGGATTAGGCAATCCATTACTCTGCCCCCTTGAACAGATTGATGTCATAAATTCCGACACCTTGCACACATTCGTCAAAAATTGGTATCAACCAGAACGAATTGTGGTTGCGGGAGCCGGGATTCCTCACGAGCAACTACTAGAACTGACTGACAAGCACTTCTCTCATCTTACATCGACGGCATCTTCTTCCCGAATTTCCAGCCCAACATCTTCGTCTGTTCCCTTACACCTTCTCTCGTCATCTTCGCCGCCGTTGCAGAAGAGCCTGGCTCGCGCAGCATCCTCCTTATTCCCTTCCACATCGACTTCCTCTGTATCAGAATCGCACTATACCGGCGGACACCACTTCATCTCATCTCCAGAATCACAATTCTCCCACCTCTATCTTGCCTTCGAAGGTGTTTCCATTCATGATCCTGATATATATGCATTAGCTATCATCCAAATCCTTTTGGGAGGGGGAGGTAGCTTCTCAGCTGGAGGACCCGGGAAGGGCATGTACTCGCGTCTGTACACCCACATCTTGAATCACCATCCTCAGATCGATCATTGTGCCTCTTTCCACCACATATATAGCGACAGTTCCCTTTTCGGGCTGTTTGCCACTTTCTTACCTCCCATCAATGGAAATCGCCACGTTCGCGGGAGTAGTCCTCAGCAGATTCTACCTCATCTGGTCCATCAGCTCAGCCTGCTCCTTCATACATCATTGCCTGCTGAAGAGCTGTCGCGGGCCAGAAACCAACTCAAATCTAACCTTGTTATGGCTCTCGAAAGCAGAGCAGTGGAAGTTGAAGATTTGGGAAGACAGGTCGGTGATCCTTGAATCGTTCTCAGCGTGATGTCTGACTGGGTACAGATCTTGGTGCATAATCGCAAAGTTCCCGTGTCAGAGATGTGCGAAAGAATTGACCAAGTCACTGCGGATGATATACGTCGAGTCTCAGCTCGCGTGTTCGGGCCAGATATTCAGAAATCGGCGACAGTCCTCGTTGAGGGCGCTGACGACGTGACTGATTGGCGGACAGTGTTGAGGAAATATGGTGTTGGAGGGGCTCAGTTGGCCTTGCATACATGATATCATTTATAAAATCTAATGTATACTTACCACCACCACTACTCTACACATATTAATTGCATGCCATACATATATAGTCGTTTTTACGCATTTTATGACATACGCATTGACTCGATTAGTGCCGTCTGGGCCGGCAGCCACCTTGTCCTCAGATTTGTTTCTTTTCTGCATCGCTCCCTGCTTCACCGAAAGCGGTGTATCTGGATCAATATTAAGCTAATCCCGAACTTGTGCTGAGAGTTTTCAGCAGCGCCGCTGCAGCGGTGCTCGTGACTAATATTTAGTAGCAAAATTCTGAACGTTCGAGACTCAATGTTCCTGGTACTGTATCTTAGTACCGGGTCATACCGGCAGCTAGTGTCGCAGTAGACTTCGAACGAAAGCAATAGTTTGCAAGATTGTTGCACACGAACTCGTGCTCGGACACTGATTTCTGACACGACTCCGTCGACTGGCGATCCACGATGAGAAAGTCGGAGTCTGGGTAGTTGTCGCACTAGGTATCCACGAAACTAGTACTTTCAGTAAATTGAGTTGCACAGCTTCTAGTTTTCTCACGTTACAGAGTGACAATGCGCGGATTTTTGGGCTGAGTGGCTGGGGGAACAACTCAAGGAACATCCATTCCGATCATGTTCATGTCTTCATGATTGCGATTCTGACTTATGGAGCATGACTTGAGGTAAATCAGAGCTATTACTCAACGAGCAAGATTCGAGAGTAGGTGTCAAACGGATACGCAGGATGACGTGTCATGAAATGAAACTAAAAAAGTGGCCAAGTAGATCGCTTCAGATGAACGGTGTGCTTTACCTCAAGGGGAGAATGAGTGCTTGAGAGTTTGGCGACGAAACCTGACGAGAAGTACTGGCAAGTCGGACAGCACAGTACAAACGCTTTAGCATGTTGTGGCACCTTGTTATGATGCTCGAACTCTGTCGTAAATATTCCGTAGGTCCTGTGAGAGAAAGGGCATATGAGTTGAATGACCTTTCCCCAGCACGCGGCTGCCGGTATCCTACTACCTAATATCCTGAATTCTGGGTCAGTTAATGCTATCGATGTGGGGGCTATCATTGACATTGACAACTGGAACCGAGACAACCATCCTCTGTGTCTGAACGCGGCTGGTACGAAGAGAGTCAACAGAGTTTGCACACAGATGACGCGATGACTAATCGATGCTGACACCGGAGCGATGGACCCCGGACACCATGCCCATAAATGGAGCGTCCAGAGCGCCCCAAGATGTCACCCCGCGAATTTAGGGCCGGAGAGACCTGTCAAGGACAAGGTGACAAGCACGTGACGAAAATCACTCGCGAAATATCGACGATGTTGATGCGTGTTGTGGCTCGGAACGCGACCT